TCAAAAAGATTACAAGTAGTAATGGTGATAACAAAATTCTGGTTGTGATAAGAACAAATGAAATGATAACAAAATGAATGACTGCAGAATTCGAATATTAACATTATGTTGCTAAACAATAAACAGTATATTTCACGTATTTTTTCACGTTTTATATTCATCACTTCTATCAAAAAATATTTGTCACATTCTCTGAGTGACAGTTTAAAAGTAATATCGAGAATAAATCGCAATAATGCAATAAGAATGAGTAAATTATTTTGCTCAGTTTTTTCCAGAAACATTCTATTCAATCTTAACTTTAATAATTGTGTTAAGTCAAATGAGTACTAAATGAAAATTTCATACTGAATAAAACTGAAAAATGATTTCATTCAAATTATAAGGCTGAAATTTTAGTCATTATGAATGAAAAGTATAAATTTAATTTGTAACTAAATATTTTTATTATTATTTCTCTGCCAAAGTTATTAGCAGCAATCAGACATAATTTGCATGTTCAGTGCTAAATTTTATTAAAAAGAAAAAAGAAAAAGATTGAGTTATTGAAAATTTAACTGAATAGAAAACTCAAAAAATCAGCTAACTGAATAATATATTGTGTAGAACTTATCAATTATTTTAAAAAAATAAAGAAAAAATGAAATTATCAATCAATAAGTTTCGGAAATCAAACGAAATTGAATAAAATTTATGAAAACGAAAAGCTAAAATGATAGTGAATTAAGAATAAAAAAGAAAATACTTATGTAAATAGTAATCAAAAGCTACTAAAGCATAATAAGCAAAATTTAATTGCAATGTTAATATTATGCTAATAGCATAGCAAAGATTATCAATTTATTTAATTATTTCTTTGCTATTATGGTTGTTATTATAAAGTGCATTACTGAATTTCATTTAAAAATCTTTTTCAAAATTTAAGGTCTAAAGATTGCACTGAAATTATAAGTAAAACATTTAACTTACATTTATGATATCATATAATGATCCTGGAATTTTATCACTAATATGCATAGATATACAAAAATTTGATTTTTTTTTTTACAATTTAAATTTGAAACAATTTTTTTTCCTCCAATAATTTTGGTTGGACTCTTTTCATTGCACGTGGAAAATTTTTCATTTAGCTACTTTTTTGGTATAAATCAAAAAAAAAAAATAAAAATAAAAAAATTACACAAATATTCAAAGCTTTTTAAATTGTGGTATAATTTATTATTTCTACTATGGTAGAAATAAATTTAAGAATAAAATTTGATTGAATTTTAAAAACAAATCCTAGGAAATTAATAAACATTGTAAGTATTGATATAGATTGATAATGAGAGTAATGTGATGACAGAAAAATTTTTAAATTTTTTACAGCAGCCATTTTCATTTTCAAATTTAGCCGCAAACTTTATTTGATATTTAATTCAATGGAATTGTATTTTATGTTTCAAAAATAATTGAATACTTAAATTCTTCGCATTGATGATTGTTCGTCTTTTTGCATTATTTCAATTTTGCTAATATTCTTTCAATCTTTGATTTTATAGCTTGCTTCATGCCACTAGATCATGCATCATGCATGAAGTAAGTGAAATGATTCGGCTTATATTAATTAACCACAAATTTGTGTCTATTGAATTAATTCATAATTAAATTTGATTTAAGTGTGTAGGCTAGACAAATTTTTGAAATTTCGCACTGTTTACTGTAATTTCAAGAAATGAAGCATAATAGTTTGTTAAATAAAGCCTTGAAATTGCTGAATCGTAGAGGATATAACTGTAAAATTCATCTCTTATTAGCCATATTCTATTATAAATGAATTTCAAGTATTTTTAAACTCTAAAATATTTTGCAGCAAGTTCCATTGTGAGCCAGAAAGTATCAGAAGATTCGTCTAAAGAAGGAACTATGGAAATTTGAAGCTGTATGAAAATATCAATTTGAGTTACATATTTAAGGAATTGTCCCAATTTTAGTCAATGATGTTGAAATTTTCATTTTTCCCTTTGTTTTCCATTTTTAAATGACTAATTTAGATTTACTCATTTCACGTCATTACGTAATCTTTTCCAAAATTTAAATTAGCATTAGAAAACGTGACGCTACTGAGAAAGTTATAAAAATTAACGGATATTTCGACTTTTTTTTTTCTCTTTCTTTCATGTAAAATTGCAGAAAATGTCAACAATATGAATTTCTGTCGTACCAAAAATTCATTTTTGCCTTACAATTAAGTGTGATTGTTTATATTTACCAGTAACAACGATACTTTTATATTCTGTAAACATTTCTTGAAGCATCAAAATTTAATCATTTCACTTGACAAATTTTTGGATGAAATGAAAGGAAAAAAAAAAAAAGAAAGAAAGGAAAGAAGAAACTGCAAATGATTTGTTAAATTTTAAAATTTCATACAAATATCTCATTTGAAAAAATTAAATTCTGTTATTTCTTCGGTTGTATGAAGCAAAAGTAATACTGTAATATCTCATTTATTTTGCATCAAAGTTCTGAAATTCGTAAAAAACTGTGAATTAATGAAATGTACTTTGAAAAAAAAAACATAATCAACATTTACATATAAAGTTATTAAGTTATTAATTTTTCATAAATCAATATTTTCACTTGCATTATTCGCTTACTTATGCTTAAAATTGTTTAAGAATAACAATAAAAGCACGCAATGCTATTGAAACTTTTTTTTTTGGTGAAATTCGAAAATATTTCAAACAATGTTTTGGCTATAATTAGTATGTAAAATTGAAGGGAAAAAGTTGCAAATAATCAAATGATAAGAATGTGATATGATAAGAATGAATTAGTTAAGTTAATATAAAATGTGTTATAGTGTGAACAATATCAGCAATATAGCATAATATTATTTTAAAAAAACTTATTTTTCTTTCTAAAACCATTTTGTTTTATTTTTTTAGTGAAAAAAATTTTAACCGGAAAAAAACTTTTAATATGTAAATGTATGGACAATATAGAGGTATTTGATGGTGGAATTTTCACTAAAATTTTTTTATCAGTTTCCTGAAAATAACTTATTTTTAGAAGGTATGCTAATCTATGTTATAACTATAGCATTATCAAAAATATTGAATGTCTAGCAGACCTAGAAAATTCTAATTCGAAAAAAAATACTTATTTTAAAATATTGACTGTCTAGCAAACATAGAAAATTCTAGAAAAAAAAAAGCATATAAAGTTAGCTATTTCCTACAGAAGGAATCAATTCATATCCAAAATGGGAATTAAAAAAGAACAATTATAATTTAATTTTTAAATATCAAATATTAGGCAAAAATCTTTCGTTTTTTTTTTGTTAAATATTTCTTTATTTGACTTTTTTTTATACTGTAAATAAAATTTTTTTAGATTTCTTAAATTTACTTTGAACTTTTCTCATTCAGTAAAGCAAAGCAATTTTTTCTTTCTTAATTTTGCTATTCAATTTTAAAAGAATAAAATTTTTCTCTGTTAAATGAATATAGCAGTCATTCTATTAAATAAAATCGCAAATCGCAGTTAAGCTAAGATCTTCCGTAAGTGAATATATTCATAGATCAAAATTCATCCTTGGATAGATAATTTCAATTTATGCGTTAGTCCTAAAAAAGAAATCTTGAAATACTAACTCATCCATTCATTTCTAATTTATGAAAATTTCAGGATAAACTTTATCTTTTATCAGCCAATATTTACTTCTGCTGTGCACTTCAACTTGATAAAGTGAACAAAAAAAATAAAATTGTTTTTTCCAAACAGAAATGATTTGTTTTGAAAAAATCAGCTGTGTAAACTTTTCAGAAAGCGAAAGAAACGAAAGCAATGTTTTGCTACACTTCCATAAAATTTGGTTCTAGATTATCAAATCTAATTTTAATTAAGTGTTAAATCTGTTAAAAATAGCAATTCATTAAAAAATTAATTATTTCATATGCATTGTACCAGAGCTGGTCATATATGGTGTGGTCATTTTATAGTTTAAATATTAAAATACGCTTCTGAAATTAAGTTTTGCGCAAAATTTCATAAGCAAAATTAATAAAACTTTCAATTAATCATGGTTTTAATTCATTTTAAGAAATAAAATTAAATTTTATTTCAAATTTAAATTTTGAATTTTTCAAAAATCTTAAAATTTGTAATAGTTTTTGTACATGAAACAAGGAAACAAATTCTAGTGGTTATCAAATTTTTGTTTTAATTAAAAAGTAATCGTGAAATACTAACTAACTCATCCATTCATTTCTAATTTATGAAAATTTCAGGATAAACTTTATCTTTTATCAGCCAATATTTACTTCTGCTGTGCTCTTCAGCTTGATAAAGTAAACAAAAAAAAATAAAATTGTTTTTTCCAAACAGAAATGATTTGTTTTGAATAAATCAGCTGTGTAAACTTTTCAGAAAGCGAAAGAAACGAAAGCAATGTTTTGCTACACTTCCATAAAAGAAACTAAAACAGAAGCAATCAAATTTCTTTCTTTCCATATTCTCTCAAATGCGAGAAAAAAAAAATGGACACATCTGCTTTACTGTACATTCAAATATCATTTATAAACAGGTTAATTATTAGCTTATACAGGTATATTCCTCTTCAATCTTTCAGCATCTTTTCAGGTAAACCTAACTGATCATATTTAGCAAAACAATTGAGTTTTTTGTTAAACGAATTAGCTGAATTCTTCTTTTCTTGTTTTTTTTTTTTTTTTTTTGAAGAAGCTAATTAAGTAGAAAAGAAGTGAGAGAAAAAGAGAGAAAAATAAATATATAAAATAATAATTGAAATTAATTTAACCTAATTTATGTGAAAAAAAAAAAAACTGAATTGTTGTAGAAATTGATTTACATTTCCGTCCCTTATAAAGATGAATAAGTAAAATAAAAAAGAAGAACGAAATTTTGTTCTAATTATTTGGAAATTTACACGTTACGTATTAATCACTTCACGTTTATGGAATTAATGGATGTTTGATTTTTTTTAGAAATAAAAAATGAACAAACTTTTAATAGTTTTTGGCTTGGTAATTCTTTTTGTCACACCACTTTATGCAAAACAATCAATTGAAGAGGAAGAAGAAGAGGTAACTTTCTTCAATTTAATTTCTTAATTTGAATTTTTTATTTATTTAAATTGCTAAACTGAAAAAAAAAAAGAAAGTATAAGTAAATTAGAAAAGCAATTGCTAAAGTATTACTTTTTAAGCTTAGAGCAGAAATTTATTCCAAAACAGAAGCGTAATTTACGTGAATAGAATGAAAGTCTCAATGATTTCAGATGAGTGACGAAGAGGAGGAAGAGAAGGAGGAAGAGGAAGAAGAGAATGGAAATGAAGAGAAAGAGGATGAAGATGATGATTATTATCAAGATGATAGTGATGAGAAAGAGGAGGATGAAGAGAAGGAGGAGGATGAAGACGAGGATGGTAGTGAAGAGAAAGAGGATGAAGATGATGATTATTATCAAGATGGTAGTGATGAGAAAGAGGAGGATGAAGACGAGGATGGTAGTGAAGAGAAAGAGGATGAAGATGATGATTATCAAGACGACAGTGATGAGAAAGAGGAGGATGAAGACGAGGATGATAGTGAAGAGAAAGAGGATGAAGAAGAAGATAAGGATGATAGTGAAGAGAAAGAGGATGAAGAAGAAGATAAGGATGATAGTGAAGAGAGAGAAGACGAATATACTGCCAAAGGGGAATTCGTTGAAACAGACGGCAAGCAAGTCGTTTTGACCTTTCAGTAGTTTGAACTTTAACAATTTTACGAGAATTTTACTTCTTAGCCATAAACAATTCCCACCTTTCCGCAGTATAATCGAAGCTCATTTTGGCCCTTTTTATTTACTTTGAAATATTTTCTTTATATAAAATCGAACACTAATTACAAATGATTCCACTTCAATTCCACTGTATTTCACTTCAGTTTATTGCAGGAAGAAACAATGTGACTCTCACGTGGCTTGTTATGATCAACGTGAACCGCAAGCGTGGTGCATATTAAAGAGGAATCAGTCTTGGACGTAAGTCTACGTCTCAGTTAGTTTTATTATTAAAAAATTGGATAAAAATTATCAGTGAATTGAGAACGCTCTGTTATAGAAACAAAGGTTGTTTCTGCGATGAAAAGAGACATTTATGCGTTATGGAACGGATGAACGGCGGTAAATTGGAATATGCGTATTGCGCGCCTGCAAAGAATTGGAAGTGTTCGTATGATTAATAGTAACCTACGATATTCATCCATTTCCTATTTTAATATTTCAATTCCTTCTAGCAGCTTGCAATGTCAGTTATGCACTTTAACTTTTATTCAATGTAGTCTTCCAAATGAAATCATATGTAAGCATATAAAACGAGCAGTGACGATGATAATTCGAACGAAATAAACTAATAATCAATTTCTTATCAACTAATATCAGTGATAGCCCAAAGAAAGATCTAATCTTACTAGTCTTTCAGCTTATAATAATATCCCAATAATTGATTATGTCCAAACCAAACATATTAATAGTATTAGTCATTTCATCTCTTTGTAACTTTCCGCTTTTTTCATCCTTTTCTGTTTCACTTTTTATTTGCTTGGAGACTGATCGTCCGTTTCATATGAATCAAATCATTAACTTTCAGTATGGCTTAAATCATTTTTAGCTTTCATAGGAAATACAAGAGTCTATCAACTGCCACAAGGTTTCAATGCCAAGAATTATGGATTTGAATTCTGAAAAAATACTTTCATTCGTATGATCCAATGTTTGAATCGCTCATTTCTGAGCTTAACTTGCAAATCATAAGTTAATTTTGCTACTTAGCTAATGAAGTTTCTACGCAATTTAATTTCTTTGCTTTAAGTCTCTCAAAAGTAATAACCAATTCTTATAATATAAAGCAAAACAATTAGATAATTACCGTATAAAACACGAAAGGTTGAAAAATGGTCACTTTCTGGTTTCTGTTTAATTCTTCGATGCCAAGAATTGGAGACATTTCGCCTTCTTCTAATAATCAGTAGAAAGGAGACAATTCAGTGCGTATGTTAATGAGATGCAATGCTTCCGAGAAACTATTCAAATGGATATGTTTTCATCACTTATTTTTATAAGTGATGAAAACGGTCGTTGAAATGATTTTATGCTTTGATAGCCATAAATGATTTATGGTTCGATCAGAACTCAATCAGAAATAAGTGAGTTCTGATCGATTACTTCAAATATAATTTGTGTGTGATAAAATTTACTCATTAATTATTGAAGAGATAATACTAAATGCATATGTTGTGGAGACAAATTAAATATATGTGTCAATGTGATTCAAAAAACTTCAAATATGGTTACAATACTAATTCATTTCTTGATAAGGGTCAGATTTTCCACAAATTTTTATGAATTAATTACAGCCATTACTCTTTTCTTGAATATTATTCAACTTTTGATAATCTGTGCTTTGAGAGTTTTCAAAAGTGCGTTATTTCTTAATAAAAATGAAAACTGTTAACAGAAATGTAAAAACAACATAGTATCAATACATAGAATCAGATTAAACTGATATATCATTTTGAAATTTGTGAGTGATAATCACACCTTGAATTGACTTTATTAGTTTATTCAATGATTATGTCAGAATTCGATATCACTGATATAAAATACAGTTATCGAAACAATTGAATTTATTTCTAATATATTAATAAATACAAAGCTTTAAATCAAGAAATATTTCTAGATATGGCAAATGTCGATTTTAATATTTTATTTCAAACATATAAATATTAGCAAAAAATTTATTAATATTAAACCGATCATATTAGTAAGAATTTCAAGCAGCTATTATGCTTATCTGTCGATGGTATGATAGAAATAATCAGTTATCACTGTATATGTCAGAAGTTTTAAGAGAATCAAATACATATAGCATATTCTAATTAAAAGATCGAAATTTAGATCCTAAGAGATATTGTCAAAAAATACATCTATAAATATCGTTTTATACTTCAGGCTACTATTTTACCTGTCATGCTACTGTCACACTGCTACATCATCCAGGCTAATATTACCTGTCATGCTACTGTCACACTGCTACATCATCCAGGCTAATATTACCTGTCATGCTACTGTCACACTGCTACATCATCAGGCTAATATTACCTGTCATGCTACTTGTCACACTATTATCTCAACATCATCTATGTCAACACCTTGAATAATAGTACTATTTTTTAACAATCCAATTCTCAATCTCAACCAGCCATATAAATGATGTTTTATAATGTTATGCGACTGCTTACAGTAAATAAAATGAATAGTAGGCAATAGGGCACAACTAAAAATGATGAAGCAATTTATGAAAATTGTCGATGGAATGTCGGCTTCGATGCCAAAAATTTCAACCATAATAGGTGATAAATAGTTAAAAACAATGATTTCAATTTCTAATATACCACAATTCCATGCAGCTTGAATTAGCATCGACCATTCATATCGACGAAGTTTTATTCCATTTCTTTCATGTTTGGCTTGTGTAATTCCTGAAGATATTAAATTGAATGATAAAACCATTGAGAATTGAAGAGATGGTTTTGGAATTTAATAAAATTTAATAGTAAATTTTTAATAATTTTGAAACGATCAATCAAATTATGAAAAAAAGAAAGAAATAGTTTAGCATTGCAAACTTCGACGTTGATTTTTATTTAATTTCAAACGACGTTCGAGACGTATGCTGTAGAATATTGCAATATACATAACGAACATGATATTAGGTATGGATAAAGACCAAAGACGACGAATCCTAAAGAATCAATATTACATTTTTAAAACAACACAATTGAATTAGCTTTGAAGTAAGCAAATAAGAATACCTACGTATGAAATTTTATGACTCAGTAATTTCAAACTTAAATTTAAAATTTAATGAGAACTGAAAAGGTGATATTAAAAGATGACTTCCACCAAGTTTTGCTTTCATTTGTTTTTTCACAATTTATTTTCCACTTCAAGTTTGCGGCAAGGAATATTCTGAAGCAAAAATAAAAATCGCCAAATGCAACCACTGAAAATTCAACTTGTTATAAAATTTCTAATTGTATTTGTTAAATGATAGCAAAAAGATTAAGAAATAATAATAAATTCAAGTGTGAATAGATTAATTTTGATGAAATTCGATTTCCAAATTTTGATTGTTTAAAAGATATAAATTTATTGTTTAAAAAAAAAAAAAAAAAAAAGAAATCATTTGATTATATAGGAATGAATCATACCAAAAGCTGATAACCAGGTGAAAGCAATTAGAAAATATAGTTTTTTTGACTCGAAAAACGAGCAATATTTGGGTAAAATTAGCACCACAAAGCGATTCAGTGTCAACAAAAATGAAAAATGAAGCATAGAAAAGAATGAAAAAGTATCTAAAGCTGAGAATGCACGATTAAGCCATTTTGTTTCATTTACTAAAATATAAGTAAATTAGTTATTTCGAGAAAAGCTCCTTTTTTTTTGTTTGTAATAAAAATAGAATGAATCCAAATAAACTTTGAAAAAGTTCCTAACAAAGAAATGATCATTTTTGTTTAAAAGTATTATAAAACTATTTAACTTACTGTTTAAAAGTGTAAAATAAGGGTATTTCAAAACTTTGGCGTATAAAACACAAAAATTTCGAATTAAAATTTGAGTTAAAAATTTGAATTATTAATTTTAATAAAATGATAAAAATTTAAATTCTGTATTCAAATTTTGTTATCTATTTAATAAAGGCAATTAATTTGTTTTATGTTATTGATCTAATAAGAAACCGCTCCTTAAGATAAGTATCGAATATCAGTTACTATTAGTAATATCACATAATAATGATTATTTCCTCTTTCCAATTTAAAAAAAAAAAGAAATTGAATCTACATTTAACTTATACCAAAGTAAATAATAACCAAGAAATGTAAATAAAATAAACTTGCCATATTGAGCTATTTTTAGTTTGTAATATTTCAGGTAATACAACAAATATTTGTGGAAGAAAAGTCATAAAATTAGAAATAATCAGTTGTAATGCAATAAAAATAAATTCACGACTGTAATGATTGTACTTTCCTTTACAGAATAATACAATTACCATTAATGTATTACTAATAATACCATAAAGTAAGAAAGCAGTAAATAACAGAAATATTATGTAATTTTTAGTTTTCTGCTTTTCATCTCTTATATCAAATACATCTGTCACATTTATTTCGTGACAATTACAGGGTAATATCAGAAATAATACAATAATACAGTGTAAACAACCAAGCATCCTGTTAATTGTTTTATTTCAATTACAAACTTTAGTAATGTAAGAGAAGGAAGGAAAAAAAAAAAAAAAAAACGAATTCTTCAGATTAATAATAATGATAAAAAGATTATTTTAGGAAACGTTGATAATTTAACTGTAAAATGTGATTTCCACTTCTTTTGCAACTTATAGGAACTGCTGATGATAATAATAATAATAATATCATTGCTACTTTCTTATTATTATTTTATATTTGTAGGATCAAATATTTGTACTGATATGAATTGACTTAACTACTTTTACGGCAATTTATTTTGCTTACACAATAAAGCAAATTTAATCAGTTATGACGATATAATGCAAAATAAATTGAAAACGATTTATGGCAAAATAAACTCACTATTTTGCTTATATTAAATCTTTTTTACTTATATTTAATCTTTCTAAGCAAATTTCATAGGCAATTCAATAATTTCTGCATCGCTGAAATAGTAACATAGCAAATTTTCAATCTATATTAAAGTAATTAGCTAATTATTTTCAATTTATTTTGCTTTATATCACCATAATTGTTCGAGACACATACACGACCTGGATGATGTAAATAATCAAAAAAACTTAATTAAGTGAGTAGCGAAGCGAAATTAATTTATAATTTGAAAATTAGGTCCAGAAAAGAGTGCTTGAGTTACCTAATCATTAGGATGAAAACATTCATTTTTCGAAATTGAATTTTTCAAACTATGAATTAATATTTTCTGTGAAAACTGCGCCGCTCAAATGGCAACATCTTAAGAATTGATTTATGTTAAAAATATATAATCTGATTCACATTAGAAAATTAATAATCACATTTTAGAAGCAAATCTGATGGTCAGAAAAGCCAACGTTTATAACATTAAAAAAATTAAAATACCCAAAAAAAGCTTTGTATCATTCAAAGAAGCATTGAGAGGATGATGA